CGCAATACATATTTAAAACTATAAGCTATGTATGTTTCTAAATAGAAATTTAATTCAAACAAACCTTGGTATTAAAATAAATATATAATAACAAATTCGTTACATATGGTTCTTTTCTTAAGGTTTATTTAAATATGTATGTGTACATACGTATCTTCTGTGAAGATGTTTTAGTTGTGGTATCTTCAAAGTACATTACAAAATAGCTAAATTATTTACACTATTAATTTGGTCAGAAAATTGAGTTTTTTGCATTGTCTCTACAAATACTAATTTTTATGCTACCATTTACAGGAGTGTTTTGAAGATTACATGAAAAAAAAACACTATAAAGAATTTTTAATGGAAGTTTTATAGTTGTTTAGATTTGATGTTATTTTAGTAAATTTCAATTTATTTAAAGTTTTTTTTGTCGTTTTGTTTTCTTTAGACTTTCCCTAATATATAAACACCTATGGGCAAAAATAGGAAAAAGAAACAAACTTATTCTTAAGAAGATTTATATTCCTTCTCATCATTATCAAATACATCCAACATTTTTTAAACTAATTAATAAATAAGTGACAGACACCTAGAAATGTAATAAAGCAACAACATGAAAGTCTTGACTGCTCAAGCACACCAGGTTTGACATGAGTTTTGTTTCAATCGTTGGTATTCTGTCACCACACAGGACTTTATATGTTTACAAGATGAGCAGTTTATGATTAATGCTAACATTTACAGGAGTGTTTTGAAGATTACATGGAAAAAAAAAACACTATAAAGAATCTTTTATGAAAGTTTTATAGTTGTTTAGATTTGATGTTATTTTAATAAATTTTAATTTATTTAAAAAGTTTTGTTTTTTGTCGTATTGTTTTCTTTAGATTTCCCCTACTAAGTAAACACCTATGGGCAGTTTATGATTAATTTTTATATCAGTACACCTACTTTCTATCTCATTTTCTGTGTACTTAACAAACTCAGTTGGGTTTTTTTTACTTAATGACTCATTTTTGTAACATGAGAATGTTAATGGAGTACAGCATGATAACAAAAAAGAGGACATGATGATTCTAATTTTACATTTCCAGGTATTCTGCAACAAAAGCCATAATTATTGCCATGGCTTGCACATTTTTTGAAGCATTCAACATCCCAGTTTTTTGGCCAATTTTGCTTTTATATTTCTTCACTCTGTTTTGTATTACCATGAAAAGACAAATAAAGGTAAGAGCATTTTTAAACATTGGCAAAACAAATTATAATTCTTTTTGTAATTCGTTCGTGTGAAACATTTCCTTTGTCCACCCCTAGAATTCGGGTTTCGATACCCGTGGTGGGCAGAGCACAGATAGCCCATTGTTTAGCTTTGTGCTTAATTACAAACAAACAAAAACTTCACTGTGGTAATATAGAGACTTGATTAATGCATTAAAAAGGTAGCATCCACTTAGAAAATTGATCAGAATCACACAAAAACAAGGTATTTGTAGGCAGTTAATACACGTTGTTCATACAGCAAACACATGTTTTAATGCTTAGTTAGTAACAAAATATTTATTGTAAACCCATATTTTTAGACTGATAGTCAGGTCTTCACCAAGAGGTACAGAATTTTGGTTTCAGACTGAATTTTAAAGAAAAACATAACTTCTGATGAAGGACTGTCTATCATTTAAATATGTTGGGACATAGTGTTTCGTTTGTTGGCCCTTTCGATGTATACAACAGAATTAATTGCACTTCCTTTCAAGGCTGAATCTATAATCTGTACAACCAATAGCTGCAAGACAAGAATAAAACACGTAAAGAAATTATAAGGAGTAAGGAAGTGCTGTTTGTAAAACTTTGTACTTTGTTATGATAACATTTCAGTCAAATTCAGCTAGAAAACAAAAATGTCAATATTGAGACTTTAAAAATAAGTGTGAACTTTGGTAATACTTTCTTATCAACAGTTTAAAATTCCTTCACTCAATGATTAGATGATATATATATATATTTACTCTATGATAGGAAGCTTATCAATCAGTGATAGGATGACTTATTCAATAAGATCTACATCAATCTTTATATATGAAGCAAAGTATTCAGGCCTAGTGTTTAACCCACAAATTACCTATTTTTGTGTCATTCACTGCAACTTGGGTCCAGATATCATATTGAATAATTTTATTTTTGCCTGTTTCAACACTCGATTTAAAGAAGTGACTCAGAGTATTAGGTGAAATTGCTGATGTTGTGGGTAAATACAAGGGACCTTTATGGGAATTAATTTGATGTTGTGGGTAAATACAAGGGACCTTTATGGGAATTAATTGGATGTTGTGGGTAAATACAAGGGACCCTTATGGGAATTAATTGGATGTTGTGGGTAAATACAAGGGACCCTTATGGGACTTAATTGGATGTTGTGGGTAAATACAAGGGACCTTTATGGGAATTAATTGTATGTTGTGGGTAAATATAAGGGTACCCTTATGGGAATTAATTGGATGCTGTGGGTAAATACAAGGGACCCTTATGGGAATTAATTGTATGTTGTGGGTAAATATAAGGGACCCTTATGGGAATTAATTGTATGTTGTGGGTAAATACAAGGGACCCTTATGGGAATTAATTGTATGTTGTGGGTAAATATAAGGGACCCTTATGGGAATTAATTGGATGTTGTGGGTAAATACAAGGGACCCTTATGGGAATTAATTTGATGTTGTGGGTAAATACAAGGGACCCTTATGGGAATTAATTGGATGTTGTGGGTAAATACAAGGGACCCTTATGGGAATTAATTGGATGTTGTGGGTAAATACAAGGGACCCTTATGGGAATTAACTGGATGTTGTAGATAGATACAAGGGACCCTTATGGAAATTAATTGGATGTTGTGGGTAAATATAAGGGACCTTTATGGGAATTAATTGGACGTTGTAGGAAAATACAGGGGATTCCTATGGGAATTAATTGGATGTTGTAGGTAAATACAGGGGACCCTTATGGTAATTAATGGAATTAATTGGATGTTTTGAGTAAATATAGGGGACCCTTATGGGAATTAATTGGTTGTTGTGAGTAAATCCTTATGGTAATTAATGGAATTAATTGAATGTTGTGGGTAAATACAGGAGACCCATATGGTAATTAATGGAATTAATTGGATGTTTTGAGTAAATATAGGGGACCCTTATGGGAATTAATTGGATGTTGTGAGTAAATCCTTATGGTAATTAATGGAATTAATTGAATGTTGTGGGTAAATACAGTAGACTCGTATGGTAATTAATGGAGTTAATTGCACTATTGATGGCTCTTCCCTGATATTTTAATGAGTTGCATGTTGTTAGGGGCCATGTAGGTTGTAAATAGAAAACGTATTAGATCCATTTGCAACTTTGAAAATGCAGGTGGACACGTTCAATAATTGTATGGTTGATTTTGGGTAATAGCAGTGGTAATTAAGCTGAATGTTTGCTTTTTCAGCACATGATCACGTACAGCTATTTGCCTTGGACACGAGGGAAAACTATTTACTACGGCAAAGACGATTCAGGGAAAGTTATTCAAGCAAAGTGAGCAGCCTTGTGCCTTCTACCTTTGTACTCATGGTTTTAAGTTGTGCTGATTGCAACAAACAAGTTATCTATTTCATACTTGCAAAAAGAAAAAGAATTGTTAATGATGTTTAAGACACTATAGTCGTGTATATCTCTTGTCATTCTAATATTATTTGTCAAAAGTATATAAAACCTATCATTTTTTAACATAATTTATCCAAGTGTAGGAAGTTATTATTTTCTGTTTCTTGCCTGTTTGTGGTAAAGCAGGCCTTTTTGTTTTCAGTCCTGACCAGTAGAGAGCTTGATTGATGAAGAGGAAAACATCATTTTAGTCACCTGTGCACTTCTCCCTAACATGTACATCTCTTTCGATCCTAATGTTGTGTCATCAGATACTGTATAAATTGATAAATTAAATTCTGAACTTCTTTCAAATCTGTCTTCTTTGCCCCCTTCTTTTTTATTATATTTTTGTCCACTACACCTGGTTGCCTGTTTCTGGTAAAGCAGGCCTGTTTGTTTTCAGCTCTAACCAGCAGAGGGCTTGGGTGATGAAGAAGAAAACATCATGTTTAGTCATCTGTGCATTTCTACCTAATGTACATCTCTTTCGATTCTATTGCTGTGTCATTAAACTCAGTATAAAAGATAACTGGATTTTATTTTCATCTGTTTTTGTTTTTTTGTAATCATTAATCTACAAATCTGTATTTTGTTCATAATAATTATTATCCTAGTGTTAACTTCTACAGGACTGTATATACCTCTTACAAGAAGAAGAAAATAAATAAAATAATCATCTTCAGCTATTTTTTTTTTCTTGCCTCGTGTCAGCCAAGCTGAATGTTTCTACATCAGCAACAGTAGACATGCACAACAAGAATATAGCAACAGTAGACATGCAAAACAAGAATATAGCAACAGTAGACATGCAAAACAAGAATATATCGTACTTTATGTTCAGTCTAGTTCACGAAACATCTCCGATTTTGATGAAAATTGGAAGCTCGACAGTAACCTATTCTTACATTTTTCTAACCACCAGAAGTTATGATTCTACCATCACATTGATTCTTCTTGTAAGCACACCTTCATTTTAAGAGTATTCTGTATTCATCAATCATAGAAGATAAGTGTTAAAACAGAATCATTAACATTAGCACTTAATTAACTTGTAAAAATTATAACTTGATGACAAACACAAGTAGGTCAGATGTTCAAGCAATGTGACTCGTATTGTACCATAGCCTGACAACACACTTGGAACCATATAGATACATCATACAGTGCGACTCGTATTGCAGCATAGCCTGACAACACAGTTGGAACCATATAGATACATTGTACAGTGTGACACATATTGCAGCATAGCCTGACAACACAGTTGGAACCATATAGATACATCATACAGTGTGACACATATTGCAGCATAGCCTGACAACACACTTTGAACCATATAGATACATTATACAGTGTGACACATATTGCAGCATAGCCTGACAACACAGTTGGAACCATATAGATACATCATACAGTGTGACACATATTGCAGCATAGCCTGACAACACACTTTGAACCATATAGATACATTATACGGTGTGACTCGTATTACAGCATAGCCTGACAACACACTTGGAACCATATAGATACATCATACAGTGTGACTCATATTGCAGCATAGCCTGACAACATACTTGGAACCATATAGATACATTGTACAGTGTGACTCATATTGCAGCATAGCCTGACAACACACTTGGAACCATATAGATACATCATACAGTGTGACTCGTATTGCAGCATAGCCTGACAACACACTTTGAACCATATAGATACATTATACAGTGTGACACATATTGCAGCATAGCATGACAACACACTTGGAACCATATAGATACATCATGCAGTGTGACTCGTATTGCAGCATAGCCTGACAACAAGCTTGTAACCATATAGATACATCATACAGTGTAACTCATATTGCACCATAGCCTGACAACACACTTGGAACCATATAGATACATCATACAGTGTGACTCATATTGCAGCATAGCCTGACAACATGTGATACCACATAAATTCAATGCCCACTATGACTCATATTGTTTGGATTTCTTCTACAATGTATATTGTGTTTAGATAATTTTCTAAAACCCATTCCTAAACATATTAATGAAGTTGGCATGAGTGGTTTATTATTTGTAAACTCTAATGAAACAGCCAGTTGTTAGAATTAAATACCTATGTTAGTCCTTTTACATTTCTTGTTATCTGTCACATGACCTGAGATAAGAGTGTTTGCTTTTCATTTGTACATGAACATTGCTGCCTGTGGATCTCTTTCATTCCAGAACAAGAGAGATAATACAAGCTATTTATCCAAGTCTTTTTAATGTACATCAACCTTTAATTTTTCTGAAGTGCATTGGAGGTAGACTTTATCAACCAATGAAGTGAGACCTAGGAGCTATAATAGTCTAGTTGGTTGAATCATTTGAGAAGCAGAGTCTTCAGTCAAATTCAATCTCATCTTGAGTTCTCATGTTTAGAAAGTGTTAGTTATGTGAAATTGAGTGATTGACAAAACAATCTGCAGGTTTTTTATCCTGAACTAAGTGGTCACAAAATTATGTACAGGTTTTATTCTGAACTAAATTGTCATAAGACTTTCAGCAGGTTTTTTTTCTTCTGAACTGAATGGTAACAAGACAGTCTGCAGGTTTTTTTAAGTTACTACAAAATGTTAAACTGATACAGTTAGTGCTAAAGAAGAATACTTTGCTTAATGTTATGAATGACAACACAAAGGTACTTCAGAGTTTTGAGTTGATAACCAATATGGACAGACATCCAACTCTTAAGTGGTCGAACATTAAATGAATATAATTTACTTGATAAACCCATTTGAGGAGCAAAGTACGTAATGGTAACAAAAATAAAAATAAGTTTAAGGCAATTAAATATTATATGTTCCAAGTATAAGAAGGTACCCATTTCCAAAAAAATAAATAATAACGTATAGGAAGGTACCCATTTCCAAAAAAATAAATAATAACGTATAGGAAAGTACCCATTTCCAAAACAATAAATAATAACGTATAGGAAAGTACCCATTTCCAAAAAAATAAATAATAACGTATAGGAAGGTACCCATTTCCAAAAAAATAATTAATAACGTATAGGAAAGTACCCATTTCCAAAAAAATAAATAATAACGTATAGGTAGGTACCCATTTCCGAAACAATAAATAATAACGTATAGGAAACTACCCATTTCCAAAAAAATAAGTAATACAATGAAAAAATGCCATCGTTTCAGAGATTAAGATAATGAAATATTACTTTTTATTTTAGCTAAATATTTAACCCCAAGAGTAGTAAATTGAGTAATCTTCCAGTGGACATAAGCTACTTGGTGTCAATAAACAGTCGCCCCCTAGGATTAGAAATAGAACTGGTACGAGTTTGTTGTGATATTGTGTGATCGTTATCTTGTAATAAAGGAAATATTGAATGTAATATCAGCACTAATAAGCTTTTATCATACATTTGTAACCTTAAATACTTAATGTAATCTTTTTTACGTAACGCGCACTGCTTAGTTAAATTGTCTTTTTATCAATAAATAATTAGCCACTTTTGTTTGTGTATGAGTGTATTGATATGTCACTACAGCCTTCACACAGGCATCTCAACGTTTGTTTGGTTGTTCTGACTCAATTTATCGTCACTGTATAGCGATAATAAGGCCTTCCCATTTTGACTCAACGTTCCAACCGAAACACTATGTGTAACACTGGTTAGGCTTGAAAGCAGCTTGGTCCATAAATCGAGTATTAAGCACCATCTTTGCTTTTCAAGTGACGAAACTAAAGCAAAATCAAAACAAAGAAAAAAAACTGTTAGTGACTAATAGGTTGCTGAACCCGTAACAGCATTTAGGTAAGTCATTTCGCTTAAAAATGTTTTATACACACACTATGTTTTGGTTGTTTTTAGAACAAAGCGATACTAAGCCATCTGCTCTATGTCGTTAGACTTACCGCTGTCAACCCGGGGAACGGTATGTTTTGATTGTAAGTTATAATTTATAAAGCTCTTGGAGTTCTATAAGTCATGTGGATTGGTGTGTTAAGTGTTCAGTAAATATCACAGTATTAAATTTCGAATGATTTTCGTCAAGAAGAAATTAGTAATATTTGAAAGCTATGCAGAATTTTCATTGTGCGTTCTTAGAGTTGATTCCCGAAATGGATTACAAAATTAAATGAAACTAAAAAAAAATATCTTGATGTAAACTGTGAGAGGGTGTGGATGTAAAAAAATTTGAAAATAATTGGTCAGTTTTAAGAAACAGAAGTAATAGTTTTTGCAGCATTTAACCACATTTTCGGATTTTTTTTTAGTGGATTTGTTTGTTTTTTAGACAAAGCCACACTGGGGTATCAGCTGTGTCCACTGCGGGGAATCGAACCTCAAATTTTAGCATTGCAAATCCGTAGACTTACTGCAGTCCCATTGGGGGACTTTTGAATGGATACTTAGCTGTTATTGGTGGGTATTTTGGAAACGTAATAAAATATTGTAGTTGACAAAGCTGGTCAAGACACAAACGATATTTTTTTCGGCCTGGCATAGTCAGGTGGTTAGGGCGCTAGTCTCACAATCTGAGGGTCACGAGTTCGAATCCCCATCCCACCAAATACGTTCGCCCTTTCAGCCGTGGGGGCTTTATAATATGTTGTTCAATCCAACTATTCGTTGACAAAAGAGTGGGCGGTGGGTGGTGATGACTAGCCGCCTTTCCTCTAGTCTTTCACTGCTGAATTAGGGACGGCTAACGCCGATAACCCTCGTGTAGCTTTGCGCGAAATTCAAACCAATTATATTTTGGCTTCCGTTTACGTTCTGCCTACCGTGTTTAGTTATGGATCTCCATGACAATTGTTTTCGGTCATTTATTGTTTTATCTTGAATTGTGAATTTGAGAGTCAGTGGTTTGCGTTTCGTTGCCACAAGAACACACTTCGTACAAATCTAACTATGCGATTAAAGTAGCCCAAAAGTTGGTGGTGAGTACTATTGACTAGTTGCTTTCCCTCTAGTCTATCAGTCAACATTATGGACAAGTAAGCTTGAGTATAGCTTTGCGTAAATATTTTTAAATAAGTAACTTTTCAAAGTGTTACAATTTGGCAAGCTTTCTATAAATGAACTTTAATCAATTCTTCATTTTTATCAATTTTTCTGTTCGATATGCGATAGTCGACTTCTGACCAATGTGACTATTGGGACTCCGCGTATGTAGAAAAATTACGTTGTTTGTGTCGCCATCTAGTGATACATTATACTTATCTCCAAAAATATGTTTGGTTTGTTCTTATAGTGCCTGGCATGGGCTAAAACAAAAAGTTTGAATCCAGGTACCGAGCATATTCGTTCTTTCAGCCGTGGGAGCATTATAATACTACGTTTAATCCCATTTTCATTAGTAAAAGATTAGCTCAAGAATTGGCGATGGGTGGTGTTGACTAGCTACCTTCCATCTAGTCTATCATTTCACAGATAATATGGAGGCTCTCAGTTAAAAATATACTAAGATATGGGCGTGGTTCTATCACTAACACTATTAAAAGGTACACATCATGGTCACAAGTAAATAGCCACCACCTTTTCAGAAAAAAATGAAATTTTTCAGTCATATTCACATGAATTGATATATTTATAATTTAATTAATATATAGTAGACCTTCCTTTCGCTTCGGGGAGTTCGTTGATCCTTTGGGGCATCGTGAGAATCATCTCATCTCGTCAGTTTTAGATTGTGGGATTTTCGCCCACTCTTGCTTCAAAACTTGGAGTAGATCGCTCTTCGAAGTTGTTTTTTGTT